GTTAAATTACACCCTGAAAGTGTTGACCTCTAGCATTTCATAGGAGCTTATAAATTATGTATGGAAATGTTCTGTATTGTTCCTGTATGAACCCCATCGAGGAGGAACGTCTGAGGTGCTCCATTTGTTCCTGAGCTTGGGAAGGTTTCCCTGTTCCTCCCCAAACTAGCCCTGATCTACACTTGCCTATTGCACTGAAGCTAACTTTTGTCTGCACATGCAGGAAACCTGGAGTTGCTCCTAGCCAGATTAAAATAATGGATCACTTGAAAGAATATTGCCTAGTATTTATTGCTGCTCACCGGAGGATAATTTCAATAAGAATTTATCATATTTATTCAGCAGAAGACTAATAAATTCAGATTTGTTTAAACAAAGACTCGAGGAAGAAAATGCTAAATGCTTATGGTTTTATTCATTGCAGACATAAGCTACTCCATTTCACTCAGTGTACTTTTACCTGCTTATGTCACCAATTAATTTGGCTCTTAATATCTTATTTTCAGCACTTTTCTCTCTTTCCTCTGGGTACTGCAAGTCATGTTCACTCCCAGTGCAAGTCTGTTGAGGATAATGGCATCTCTGATGCTTTCTGGCTTTGTATGGATTTGATTTATTGGTGTGGCAAAGTCTAGATAAATAAAAACACTTTTGCAGGAAAGTGTGATCTAATACGCTGAACTTCATCCAGGAACATCTTGAATATGAATTCTCCTATACTGTGCTTGTGGCTTTGATTAGTTCACCAGTTCTTTTTTTCTCCTTATTTAAAAATAAGCACTATGCTTAACAGGTGAAAGGCTGCTTAGTATCTATAAGATATAATATAGGGGAAGTGCATGCAAGGGCATTAGTAGTTTGAGATTTTTCTTGAGAAACACCTTAGAAACAAAGAAACCAGAAAAGAAATTGGTGGCCAAATGGTGAACAGGAGCTCATGAGGAATGGGTGAGGGGCACGTATTTCCATGAGCATGATATCCATGAGCATAAAGCTCAGGGACCTTCTCGTATTCTTTATTCTGCTGGTGTTGGGCATCAGTGCAAGAAACCAGGTGGATGGTTTTAAAAATAAGCTTTCACCCAATCTGAGATTTCTTCTGTCAAAGTTAAATGGGCAAATGTGTCCCCTGTTTGTGAATAAGCAACTCCAAGGTGCTGGAGTATGTCAGGCCAGGCAGCTTCTTATTTTTTCTGTGTTTGGGGTAATTTTTGTTTGTGGGGACAAGTTTGATAGTGGTGTGTTGACTAGCAGAGTTGAGGGCACAGAGAAAATTTGGACAGTTTGGAAAGCTGCCATGGTTTCTGCCTGATTTGTGGAAGTTTGGTGTTGGGGCCTGCAGAATGAAGAGGGTTAATGATGCTTAGGAAGGAAAAGGGTTGGTGACCTTTTCTATGTAAAATAAGGTTGAGGAATGCCATGCATGTTAACCTAAAAAGGCCAGTAACAGTTGTTGGCTTTCTAGGAAATGTTTGCATGTGTTGGTGGTTTCTTTTCCAGCAGAAGTGAATTCTTCTGTGTCCTAGGAGTGAATCACAATGCGTTTTTCCCACTCCGTTTTTTAAAATTAAGAATAAAAGGTAGCAAACCTTTCTATACAAGTGGTTGGAAAGCCGATCAAGCCCTAGGAGATAAATAAAACCGTGAAGATTTACTGAACCAGGTAACAGAAGCGACGGATCCCTGTGCCTTCAAATCCTTGATGAAAATGCATTAATATGACTAATCGTTTGGTTTCTTAGTGTGATCTGCTCCTGCATTGCGAACGACTTCACGTGGGCGCTGTGCTTTCTGAAACCCAGAGCAGAACAAAGCAAGGGGTGTCTTGATTTGATCTTTGCGTTAGAAAACGAGGTAAAAACGCTCCGCTGATGCAGCACGACCTGCTGCTACTATACCTTCAAGCCTTCCTATATGTGTGTTAAGCAGCTGGGTACGCTCGCCGATGTGATTTTAGGGCCATAAGCGGGGATAGGGCTCGTGGCCTTCCTGCTGCGCTCACCTTGCACCCTGAAAGCTGCCCGCGCGGTCAGGATTCATCACATCGATGTTACGGGCTTTTAATTGCTTTTGTGTCTGGGTTGGTGGCAGTGCTCTCTGATTTATCATCCTTATTATTTGTATGACATTAACGCTGGGAGATGCCCACTGGGACTGAAACGCTGCTGTGCCGAGGCTCCGTGAGGGTGAGGCGGTCGCAGAAGGCTGCTGTGGGCAGGGCGAGAGGCGAAGCGCTGTGTTACAGCGGGTGCTTTTTATTCAAACTACTGTGATGTCGGAGCATCTCACACACTTTTCTTTCTTACTAGCCAGAGGCAGCTTGAAATTACACTTCCCTGCATTGTCAAGAGGGAGTAAACAACTAAAGCCTGGTAGAAATCCCCCACAGACACGTGCTCTGAAGCAGGCCGCGCTGCCCGCCGCCATGGGGCCCGGCTGCGTGACAGGAACGTCCCTGCCGTCAATAAAATATAATGCCATAAAATAATGGTGGAAAGGGCCAAAACCGGGGAGGAAGAGGCTCTCGGTGTGTGGCGGTGGGTTTGTTTGGAGGAGCAGGGCTGGGAGCGAGGAGCAGAGCTCTGGCACAGCGTGGTTTTACGGGCTGGCTACCCGGTGTAGTGTTAATGAGCATTTATAACCTTTCTCGGTGCCTTCAGCTGTTTTGGGTTCAGTGCGGTAAACGCACAGCTTTTTAGCGCTCTTTTGAAAGGGGACAAACTATTTTTGTCCGATGGCTCCCAATTTGCTCCGAGCGTGCCGTGACCTCTGCCAGTCTCCGTGCATTAACAAAGTTTTTAAAGGCTTTACGGACACTTTCCATTAGCCATGCCGTAGCTGCTTCCATGAATGTTTAATGTCAAGAGCGGTACTTTTTATTATTATTAGTTTCTTCAGTCACTCCACTTCGATAAAAGCAACCCCTTTCACCCTCAGAGCCTCAGCAGGCAGCACCACAGCTCACGTCTTCCTCTGCATCCCTCCCCGTTTTCAGCTGTAGCTGTGAGAAAGTTTACCCTAATGCCATTGTGGTCTTGTTTTTTATTATTATTATTTGTATTTTCTCTTTTTCCCTCCTTTTTATCTGCAGTTTGGCAAGGTCTAAACCCTTCCTCCTCTTTCTTTTACTTTTTCTCCTCCTCCTCCTTCCTCAGCCCCTGCTGAGCCACCTCCTGGTGCTTTTCTGACGGGATTTGGGGCCGAACTCCTCTCCAGCACAATAGCTGCCCGGCAGCACCATCCCCTTTCTGTCTGCAGCAGAAGCAAAGGGATGGCAGCAAGGCTGCTGGGGGGCACTCACACATTCACCCCGACTGAGGCAACCTCTCATTTTTTCTGCAGAAGAAAACGCTTTTTTCTGATTCATAGCCCAGTCCTCTTCCTCCTTTATTCGATGAATATTTGTCCCTTGTCCTCCTCTCTCCATGAAGGCTGTGTCTTCTACCAGGAGGCAGAGAAAGGCATGCCCAGGATGCCCAGCTGCTTCATGTGGTGCTTCTGCATGAGAATAAGTTCGGCTAAATGGTGTTTCTGCTTGCTTCAAACACCAACCGGGGAATTTTTCTTGTTTATAAGTTGCCACGAGCCAACAAGAAGAGTGTACCCCCAAAGCAAATTGGGTTGAGGAAGGCTTTTTTTTGGTGCAACCTCTAAAAATAATGAAGTGGAAACTTATCAATCCATTATGCATGCTGAACACACCTCTTTATTGTGTCTCCTTGTGCTTGGGCTTGTTTTACTTGATTTGTAGACCCAGATCCACCCCCCATAAATCACATGGCCTCATTGTTTAGCATCTGCGCTATCTTGAATTCGTGCGGTCTGTAACAGGGAGCACTGGAAACACATCCAAAAGGCAAAGCTGCCACCGTTGGTTTTGGCTCTTGGTATAGATTTCCTTTAATACAAGTGTGGGGGTGAAGCCCGTGAGTTCATTCTGTGTGAACTGCAATCGCTGACTGATTGATTTCTGCATGTGTGCATCCTGCTTAACGTGTAGGTGCCCAGATAAGGGAGAGGAAAAGCCCCAGCTGGCCCTTCTGGCAGAAGTGGGTTCCCCACTGCTGCTGCATTGTATTTGTGTGTACGGGAGCATCTTGCACATCCTTGGGTTTCTGAGGTTTGAGAGAAACTGGACTGCATGCCGTCATTATTTCAACTGTGCACGTGGTTATTCCAGCCACGATCCGTTTGGGGTGAGAATGCAGATCTGACGTTGATCTGCTTGGAGAAGCAGAAGCATTGTTCTAGTTAAAGGCATCTTTCTGCTGGAAGGTCTGTTTATTTACTTATTAATTTATTTATTTTAATTTACTAATCCAGTTACAACTCAGCCTCCAGAGGCCTGGCCAGCCTAACCACATGCCCCGGGTTTGGTGTTAGGGTGGGATTGAATGATGCTAGCAGATTTTTGTGATCGGAGAAAGGCTTGAAGGCAAGAGGCTTTTCCCTTCAATGTGTTCCCGGTGACTGGAGCAGCCGGAAGGCTTTATTCTCCAAATCCCACTGCAAGCCCTCATCCTTTGTGTCTCCTGCTTTTGAAGCCATGCTCCATTTGATCCACAGAGAGTTCGAAAACTCTTGTTTTGCAAATTGGTTCCTGGAGCCTGCGATTGCAGTCCTGACATTACGGGAGCCGTAACGGCAGGAGCCGTATCTGCCAAACGTCTCTCGCAGGCTGCTGCGCTGGGATGTGAGAATTGAAATGTTCACTTCTGGCTTCGGGAGCCAGCCAGCAGCTCGACCTGCGCACGCTGGAGGGCTGTGGCTGGAGAGGCGGCAGCTCTGCAAGTTGAAATCTCCCTGGGATGAGGCTAGACTGAGAGAGCTGATTGAGACTGTGCTCTGCAAAAGCCACTTGCAATTTCCCAATTCTCTCTGCAGGTAAGGAATAGCTCCGCAGCAGCAAATGCATTTCTCCTGACTCCCTCAGACCCCGGAACAGCTGCTGCGAGGGATGGGGGTGACACTGCTGGTGTCCCCTGTCCCCAGCTCCTCTGGGTGGGGAGGGAGGGAAGGACGCATCTGCAGGCCCCTTTGCAGCTTCACGAGGGAAGTGCCGGTGGTGTCCTGCAGGCAAGAAGAAGTACACAGAAGCGCAAGCCTGTCTAAGCTGTATTGCAGGTGAATATTTAACTATGGCTTTCTAAAAATAAAGGCGAAAATGCTTCTTGGGCAGAGAGTTGTTAAGTGCAAAGCATTACTGGGAAGTGGGTGGTGGTCGTAGCTTGCTTTCTTCATGCAGCCAGCCTTTGTCTCCGTGCAGGGTTCCCCCATCACCCGAGGTTTGCCTCTGTGTCAGATCAAACCGATGCAAGTCAGTCACTTCTCTTGAAATTAGGGAGCAAAAGCCCGTGGCTTATCTCTGCCTCCCTCTCGGTGCTGAGGCAGGGATGGGACCTGGGCGCAGCTTACCAAGGGGCTGCCTCCTGGCAGTTGGCAGCACTGCACTATTAACCCAGCATCTCTGACTTGGACTTGAATGATAAAAACATGCTAACAAGCTCCTCTCTTTTTAATTACATCGATACGACACGTGCTGGAAACAGCGAGGCTTCCCCACTCTTCCCTGCCCTGTCCCTGGGGGGAGAACGTCTCCGATTGCTTCAAGTTGGTTTTCCCTAAATGAGAGTTTCCTCGCAATTGGGACACTTCCTTCATTGTTCGGGCCTTTTATTTGAGATAATATTAAGAGACATCATAACATCACAGTGTCAGAGCAAACAAAGCACTATGTAATTTTATCCCATATTAATGCAGAGTGTCGCAGATGGTGCTATCATTAGACAGCAATCTATAAAAATGGCCCATGAGACAAAGCCCTGGCACAATTATTTATTCTTCAATTATTTATTCAGCCCTTTAGGATGTGTAATACTGACAGACAGCGCGGAGCGTACTGCCTACCAATTTGCAGATCTTGACTGACTGAGCCCTCCATCATCTATGGAATAAAACATTTAGGGGGGAGGGGGCCGTATCACAGCCCTGGATTTTATTTTCTGCCTGTTTCTCCTGCTTACTGACTGGTTTCAAGGTTGCCTTTCCAAGCAACCTCCACCCCGATTTTCACCTTTTTTCTTTCAGCTCATTGCGAGGAAGGCTTTAAGGAGCCCGGCCTGAGCTTGCCAGCACCTGGTGGCTTTGGGACCAGGGGGTCACTGCTGCCCCTGCATCCAGGGAGCTCTGCCCTTGCTGCTGATTGATTTTTTGGGATGGATTCTGCCTGACGGGAAGCAGGATCAGACCCGCTGGCTTCCCGTCAGATTAATGTGCGGGGATGCGGGCTCTTTTGGTTAAGACTGTAAAGCCTGAGACATTGTCTGCTCCTGACAGCTATTACTGTAGCAGCGGCATTTGGGGAGAGGAATTTATTGCCTGCCAAATTTTTACTGTCACTTTACCGTCAAAATGATGTCAGTGCCATCAAAAGGAACGCGTCTGCCTCTGCCTCTACCTTGGCCTCCCCTGTGATAAGACAAATATTGCCGTGGCTGCCCAGGTGAACCAGAACTGGGAGCCGATCTCGTTTGAGGCTAATGATGTTGTTACTGGTTTGGTTTTAGGCTTCGGGTGGCTGTGGAGCTGCTCAAGTGTCATTGTCCAAAGTGGCTCGGATTCATCTGGAAAAATCCTCCCAAGCGACTGCATTGTATTGTGCTGTACCAACAGGAACTTTAATTCTGTAGGGTTTCAGAGACCCCCTAAAACGCAAATTGATCCATCACCAACGTGTCCTGTCTCTAATGTGTTGGTTAGGTTTGTCCCTTCGGTGTGTGCACTGTCACAGCTCCTGCCCCTGGGCACACCTGAATCTACTGTCCCAAAGGTACCTTCCCTTTTCTTTAATTTTATTTTTTTAAATAAATTACAGCCTCCCTTGCCTTCCCCACAGCACTTCTCCCCACACCTGTGATAAAACCGAGCGATGGCCCTTCCACTCAGAGACACGGTTTTGGTTATTTACAGACGATCCTAACTGCGTGTCTTTACAACTAAACTCCAACCCTGCCCTTTTTTTTGCCCTTTTTTTTGCTGGTGAGTCATCCTGGCAGGTCCTTTGCATTAAGCTGCTCAATTGTGGGCCAGTGGAAGCAACCTCCCTGTTGTTTTTTTTTTAATTTACTGGGAAATCTATAACGAGTAGCTTGTAACTGACAAGATAAGGGCTCTAATTAGATTAGTTTCTAATTTCTAAAGTGCTCGGTGTAGAGAGCTAAGTTAGCTCATTTTGTTCCCGATGAGATAGGATCTGGTGGTCGTTCTCTTTAATTTCAGCCAGCCCTTAGGTCCCTTCCAGCCCAAACCATTCTCCGATGAAATTTGCAAGCTGCCTTGGTTTGAAAAGTGGATGGGGAATGTGTGGTTGTTCCCTGGCCAAATGCTGGAGTTTGGGATGGAGATTTTCGTGTTCTGGGAAGCCCCTACCACATTAGTTGCCCACTTCTTCACGTTCTCACCCTCCTATTTAAAGAGTGACTCGATGAATTCAGTGGTTTCTTGTGACATACCCACGACTTCAGCTCATGCTGACTCTGTTTTTGTCACGAGTGCCCCCAGGAGAGCTCTGCCCATCCCCAGGTCCCCTCCTCCCACCCCGCAGCCAGGTCCTCGGGCTGTGACACTGCTCAGTCCCACTTTGTGCCCACGCTGGAGGGGTGGCTGGGATTTTACGAGTCAGTTTGTGCCGAATTCATGGCTGTTGGGGAGGACAAGTGTGAAACCACGCAGGGAAAGCCGGGAGCGTGTGTGTTTGCACTCGATCCCCGTTAGGCGTTCATCTCATGTTCGAATATATCCGCGTAGCTTGACTTAAGCAAAGAAACTCATGGTGAAGCCTGAAAATCTCTGCTGACACGCAGGCTTTAACCCAGGCGGTTGTGCCAAAAGAGCCAGAACAGGCTGAATGGCCGGAGATAATGCCACGGTGTCAGCACGCATTTTCAGCCTTGGCTGTGAATTTCCTGGCTTTTGTGTACTGCAGCTAAACCCTGATGTTAGCAGCCCACCTCCCCCTCCAAGTGAGTCCCCTCGCACAAAGAGAGGAGCAAATCCCAGCAGTTTGCACCCTGCTGGGTGATCCCAAGGGACGTGGGGAGCAGTGGCATGGTCTGGGACCCTCTGTGAAACCTGCCCTGCTTCGGGTCCGTGGGGTCGTTCCTGGCCAGCAGTTCCCAGAACCAGAGGTTTACTTTGGGGATCAATGGCTGGAGCTAACAAGGCTCTGGGACTCAGAGTCGCTGCTAATCTTGGTGCTCTTGCCAATAGCAAAACATCCACGTGCGCTAAAAATCGCTCTTGGAGCTCGTTTGGTTGCGTTTTAATAAATGCAGGTGGCGAACCGACCAATTTCCTATTCGTGTCAACTGCCCGATCTAATTACTCTAGCAGCTTACCTGTTCCTATAAACCTATTCCTATAACCCTAACCATATTCCTGTAACCATTCTACCTGCTAAAAAGGCAGCATCATTTTGACAGCAGCAAAACAAGAAGACGAATATTGGAAAGAACAGCAAAGACACCTCGCAAGATTTGAGCGATAGTGGGATTTGGTTTTGAGGCTCTGATCCTGTGCTGGAATTCGTTTGGTCTGATCCCTGGGTGTCCCACTGACTCAATCTCCTTTAACAAGAAACATTCAAGAGAAAGGAAAGGGAAATCTCCCTCTTGAACTCGGAGTTGTAGCTGGCGTGCGAGGGAATCCTTCTAATCCAGCAAAGCGGGGGCAGAGAGCAGGGTTTATCGTCCGCCCCGTCTCAGTGTCTGCAGCGAGAAAAGCCGTGCACAAGCATTGTGTTCATGGTAAGCCTCGTGTGCTGGGACAGGGTATCAGTTCTGCAGGCTGAATAAGATCAAGAAGCAGACCTATTGGGTCAAAGCAGACCTGTTTTGAACAAGGTAGGTTGTCTGGATGCAGGAGAGGAGCGAGCGCTCCAGCATGCGCTTCTTCCCATCCCGACGTGACATTAAAAGCAGGTCAGATGACTCAGACCTCAAGGCTTGACCGTGAGCCCTGCGGGGAGTCGAGATGGCAAGCCGAGATTGTGGTTGTTGGAGGAGGATGCGAACGGTACCTGGATTACATGGGTTTGAGCACGGGGTTTTTTTTTGGGCTTGTGCTTGAAACCAGACTAGGCAGTGGTGGGGCTTTCATGGAAGAACAAATATTTCCATTTCTACCGCCTGTGGAAAAGCCGCCTACTGAGTGTGTCTGGAAAATGAGCGGCTTGCCCTGTTGCTTGTTTTGGATGCCAGACTGGGGCAAAGTTCAGAGGTGCCAGTTTTTGTTCTTTCACCATCGCAGATTTCCCGCAGTGGCTTTGCCTTTGTCCCACCCTTGCGGCGGGTGAGCACACCCGTGTGCGTGTAGGACCCTCCGTCTGTCCTCTCCCTTGAAAATGCCATCGTGTCCTCGTTATGGCTTTGTGGAAAAGGCCTGTAGGCTTGAGAGCAGGGCCATGGATCTGGTGCAAGTCCCAGGCTCTGCGAGCACGCTGATTTATGGATCTGATCTCCGAAAAGTGCTGACGGCAGCAGTTGCTTACTGCTCGCTGTTATGAGCGATGCAGTCCGGAGTGGGGAATACAGATGGGACAGGACCCACTGAAATTACAGCGCAGGAGATTAATCTTCCCTAATTTCAGTCAGCCTCGAAGGGTGTGTGAATGATCTATGCTGTGGTGATCGGAGGTACGAGGAGGAAATCCTCAGTTTGGAGGAGTTGGGAGGCGTGCAGCCTACCCGTGGCAGCAGGAGTGGAGGAGAGGGAACGGGGCATTTTCCTGCTCCCTGCTCCTTGGGGAGCCTGATGCAAACCTCTTCTTTCACCTTTCAGACAGAAATGGGTAAAATATAAATGAATACTTGGTGCTGTTACTGAGTCAAGCAATCAGCATTTGTTTTTTTCCCCAGTGGGCCTCCAGCATCTGGGCAGTGGAACGTGAGAGATATTGCACATAGCAGCTGTGCATATGTATAGGTCAGGGAAACCAGAATACACTAAATCTGAAAGTGAAGTTTATTTCGGGTTACTCCATTTATGTGAGGTTCCTCTGAAAGCAGAATTTGCCCATTCTTTCATTTTTTAAAGAAGTGGAATATCCATCACCCACTTGCTTCACCTCTCTTCAAATACTACAGATAGATAAATCAGCTGAAGTAAGGAGAAAGTGTCATCAGTCTACAAGACTTATATTTTTTAAAGAAAAAGAAAAGCAGACACATTGGGTGAAGCTCTTGCCTTTGAAGATTTTGCTGCAGAGCTGTGGTTTCTGCAGTTGGCTTCTGCCCTGTGTGGCTCATTCTCGAGGCGGTGGTGGATGGAGGCCGTGCCAACTGCTCCAGGCCATGGCTGGTGGCCTGCCTGAGAGCCAGCTCCAGACCGAGCAGAGAGGGACTGCATCGCCTAAATGTGTACCTAAGTCCTAATAATAATAGTAATAATAATAATAACAATACAGGACAGCAAATGAAGATGAGATTTTAAAGAGGACATGCAAGGAGGCAGAATGAGGACATTTTTCCTTTCAAAGGTAAGGAGAGGAGCTCAGTTTCTCTCTCGGTAGGGTTCCTTGGGATTGTGCATCCTGATGGACAAAAAAAAAATGCTGTTTTTAACAGGGATAATATGACAGAGCCTTGAGGATGAACTGGGGTGTGCTGCTGGGTTTTGTCGGACAGCTACAAGTCTTCATTCTGGAGAGCAGTGCTTCTGGCCCATGCAGGGAAACAGCGAATAAAGGTTTCAATCTGTGGGAAGCTGAATTTCCCCCGTGTCGTGTGAGGCCTAAACATCACTTAAATCCCGTGTATCTGCCAAAATACTTCTTAGGTGGCTTGGAGGAGCATCTCGGCTTCTTGGTGACCCCCTGTGCTGGGGAGGATTCTTTCCCTGGGAAGCAAGCCAGACCTGAGGGAGCAGAAACGTAAAGTGTCTTTGTTTCACTTGGCCAGTCACTTGCCTTTCCATAGCATCTTTTTCCAGGCCTCTACAATGGTAAATCAGGAAAAAAATCCATCTGCAGCTGATGTCTCAGGGGCTGGCTGCATGCAGAGCACGCAGGCTCCTCTCCTTGCCGTAGGAGCTGAGCCCGGTGGGGCAGGATGGTCTCAAGCAGCTGGGGGCAGCGAGGAGATAAGGGCTTGGAGCAGCTGGGTATCAAGCCAGGGTTTGCTCAGCAAAATTACTTGGGGCTTACAGCTTGCCATGTGCACAGACCTCTCTGCCTCTCCCAGGGTGAGCAAAGCTTCGGTGTCTCTGAAATGAGAGGAAAAAAGGTCTGGTGTGTTGTGTTCATGTTCCTCACTGAAGCTGTTTTACAGTGGTCCTGCTAAAGGTTTTAGCACCAGAGAGAAAATGGGAACAAGTCAATGCTCTTTACAAGGATAGTTTATTTGTATTAATTCTTTTGTGTTACACTGAAGGAAATTTCCTGGCAAAATGTCATTTGAAAGGATTATTTTAGAGTTTAAATGTGTTTTGCCAATCACTTCTTTCTTTTCCTCACCTCCAAGAAAAGGAGGGGAGTGTATGCTGAAATAAATTTTGGCTTCCTAGCCACTCAGGGCCATAGGAGCAAAAATTAATGCAAAATAAATAAATAAATAAAACATTTGCTCCCGCAGTTCATTGCAGCTGCAGCGATGTGTTATGTTTACATCTCCACTTCACAGTTTTGTTTTCAGGTGCTAGGACACAGGTTTACAGCCAGAAAATGGCAGAAGCTTGGCTTGGATGCTGTTCTTTATTATCCAGTCTTGTCCAGTTCTCGCTTCTCTCCTTGTCCACAGCCCTGAAGTTCTGTTTATGGAGATTTGGGCGTATGAAAATTCTGCAAACCAACGATGAGTTGAAACGGAATAATAATTTTGCAGTTTGATTTTGAGTTGTTCCTTGACACACTGAAATTAGACTTTTATTGCATTCTATTTTTAATATATTTTAAAAGGAAAGGAAAATAATGACTGTTACTCACCAAATTTCATAAATGGCTTTATAACTATTATTGGTTCCCAAATGAAATACGCTTGACGAGGTATAACAGAAACTTTAAGAATACTTTAAGCTTGCTTCTTAATGGGGATTTGCCTCTGATAACTTCTGGCCCTGCAGTAGAGCTGCAGCAAGGGCCTACAGGAGATCTGGTGGGAGAAGCAGTAGGAGACAGTCCTTGCTCTGGTAAGGTCCTGGTGTCCGTCAGACATAGGTGAGGCTCCTGTCCTACCAAAAGAAGGTCAGCTGGTGAATAAGCTCTCCCAACAACATGTGCTCTGTGTACGGCCATGTTCACGACAGGATTCCTGTGTAGGAAACTGCCTAAGATTTACATCTGGTCCTGTCAGCCAGGTAGGATGTCTTGTGCAGCATGGCCACACATCTGCTTTGCCAAAATTGATGACTTTGAGACTTAAAGCCAGTTGACAGAAAAGTTAATTTGGCTATCTTCTTCAAAAGCGCTCTTCTCCTCTGATGCAATATATAATTATTTTCTCCACAACGTGAGGATTGCAGACACAAATACAAAAATGTGCTTGTTGTTGGTACAGATGTGGGACTATTGGCTAATGTCAAGGAGTGCAATGGGTTTACATGGCAAGGTTTTGGTAGCAGAGGGCTGCAGGGGTGATCTCTGTGAGCAGAGCCCAGCAGCTGCCCTGTGTCAGAGCAGAGCCAGCTCCAGCTGCTCGAAAAGGGACCTGCTGCTGGCCAGAGCCGAGCCAGTGAGTGATGCTGGTAGGGCCTCTGGGAGAGCAGTTTGAAAAAGGGGAAAAAACCTGCTGTGCTATCACAGCTGGGAGAGAGGAGTGAGAAAATGTGAGAGAAGCGGCCCTGAAGCTCCAAGGTCAGTGCAGAAGGAGGGCTGGAGGTGCTCCAGGCGCCAGAGCTGAAGTTCCTCTGCAGCCTGTGCTGTACCACATGGAGCAGATCTCCACGCTGCAGCCCCCCCATGGGTGGAGGAGCCCCCGGTGGAGCAGGTGGATGTGGCCTGGAGGAGGCTGCGGCCCATGGAGAGCCCCCGCAGGAGCAGGCCCCGGGCCGGAGCTGCAGCCCATGGAGAGGAGCCCACACAGGAGCAGGGGGGCTGGGGGGAGCTGCCAGCACCCATGGGGGACCTGTGCTGGAGCAGTTTGCTCCTGGGGGATGGACCCCATGGGACAGAGCCATGTGGGAGCAGTTCCTGAAGAGCTGCTGCCTGTGGGCAGCCCTCACAGGCTCAGTTTGGGAAGGACGGCATCCCGTGGGAGGGACCCCATGGGGAGCATGGGCAGAGAGGGACCGTGAAGGAGCGGCGGAGACGGAGTGTCAGGGACTGACCACAGCTCCCATTCTCTGTTCCCCTGTGCTGCTCGGGGGAAAAAGGTAGAAGAGGGTGGGTAGGGGGAAGGTGTTTTTGGTTTGCTTTTAGTTCTCACTGCTCTAGGCTGTTAGTAATAGATAATAAATTCTATTAATCTGACTATGTTGTCTGTTTCACCCATGATAGTAATCAGTGAGCGATCTCCCTGTCCTT